TTCTGATCTGGATTCTCAATTTTACTTGTTCTTTCCATCGTGTACAGGAGAAGATCTCATAAATGGAGTCATCTGTTGGTACTGCGTAGATCCTGTAGAACAGACAACCTGAGCTTAGAGATACACAATCGCATCCAAAGCCTCCGCAGGACTCCAGACAACCTGTGGTGCCAGGGTAGCTGTTACCGATGGAGAGTTCAGGTAGAAGACTCGTGGCGTTGACGTCAGCACATTTATTTCTCTTGCACGAGCCCATGAGGGCACAACGCTTACTGTCTACCACTCTCTGCTCCACATTCCTGGTGTACCCCATCGATGTCTTTTCACAGAGTAGATGGAGTTTTTCCCATTGCATTCGTATTTCGAATACGGTAGTGTCGTTGTTCAGTAGCTGTAAACACGCATCTCTTTTGAACGTATTCATCTTTATCACAGATGCCATATCCACGGCACATGTGGTTCTTCCGGAAGACGTTGTGCAGGTTTTTATGTGGTGAGAGAAGATATTTACGATTTGACAAGCATGGTTTGTAGAGCAGAGGTACAAGATCGCGAGCGCTTCTAGGATCCTGCTTGCGTTTCTGTATCGTCGGCGATTGGGACGTCGCAAAACTATGCCCAAACATGCACCGATGATGAAGAGGACAAAGTGGGCTAGTCTGTAGAATCCTCTCAAAAGAAGCTGTACTGGTCGTCCAATGGTCACTGGTACGTAGAAGATGGTATAGCACAAAGCTATAAGTAGGTATAGGATCACGCCAAGTCCCAGTATTGCGGAAGAAGGCCAGCATTCTGGATTCAGTATGTTCGTCGAACATACTGTGCAGTCAATCGTGGAGCAAAATTGTTGCGCAGGGCACAACTTCTCGATTGTTACGATATCATTCCCGAAACGTAGCTTCCATCTTGCTTCGAAATCCAGGAGTACCTCTTCCGCTGGTAGAGAGTGCAACTTCTTGATTGGTGGGAGTCGTTCTCTTATACAGTGGTCGTTCACGCACAACTCGTACTCCGACGACTTTGGGGCATGAAGATATACTCCATTTGCTCTGCATTCAAGCTGATACTCATATGACGTGTCCAGCGCGCTCTCAGTGATTGTCGATGTTGGTTGTGCGAAAGATGCAGTGATGGTAAGGAGCGCCAGCGCCATTTTCATATAGAGAGCAATTGGCCATACGCGAGAACTCCTTTTGTTGCAAGATGTTGTATAGCACATAGCTGTATCACTGCTGGATTGCTCCTGCACTGCTCGAATTTGTTTATGTCTGGGCCGCAGGTAGTACCTGTTGTTTGTGCTCGACGTTGTATCTCTGTTTCCTTGTGTCTCATCTTGAGATATTTCGCTAGCGTAGTTCCCTTCTATCTCTAGGGGAATTAGTTGGTTTACCGGTCGCCTTAGGACACGTTTCGCACAAACGACTTCCGCTTCGCGCACTGCTCCATCGCTACCGGAGATGAGCTTCGAAATCCTGGCCATTTTCCATTGATATCGTTTCTTGCAAGGGTCTGTCAGCAGAACTAATTCTCCAGTGCGAGGAAGCATTACACATCCGTGTTTTTGGTCAATTTGACGGCGATGAGTTTCCCTGAGCGCGGTGAGGTACGAATCTTTCCAGATTGCCCAGTACTTTTCTGTCAAAGCTTGAGATGACTGCAGTGCTCGAGTAGCCTCTATCCGGGTTTGCATCCTTGCTCTCTCCGTAGGAGGGAGGTATGAGTCGTCGTCGTCCTCCACTTCTGTGTGTGGTTGGAGAGGAAGGTCCATGTCTCTCTGGATAAAGTCAATCGGACGGAGGGCAGCCATGTTGTCGTCGATCTCAGTTTCTTGGTATGTTAAAGGCCTTGTGTTGAGGCAGCCCTCGACCTCTGTGAGAAGAGTTTCCAAGAGTTCCATTGTCAAGATTTTTCTTCCAATTGCTTTGAAGAGAGCGTCCTTGATAGAGCGAATTAGCCTCTCATAGAATCCTCCTTTCCATGGTGAATATGGAGTGATGTGGTGCCATTCTATGAGATTGTCACTGAACTCTCGTGCTACGTCTTCATTTAGTGTGGGGGTGGCTCTCGTCCCGTTGAAAATTTGACTCCCAAGTATGAATACAGGTGCATTGTCGCATGTGACAGATTGAGGTTTCCCCCTACGTGCGACAAATCTGCGGAACGCGTTCAAGAATGCCTTTGTTGTTCCATTTGGTACTGTTTCAATGTGGATCAGCCGAGTCACTGCGCACGTAAAAATACATCCATATGCTTCGAGTTCGGAGCCATTATCTTCTCTAACGGTGAGCGGTCCAAAGTAGTCCAGGCCGATGTGCTGGAATGGACGGGCTCTAACGACACGACGTGTTGGTAAGTCGGTCATTTCCGGGTATTTGTAGGGCAAGTTGTTCATTTTCTGGCATGTTACGCATGAGCGTATATACCTTCGTACTTGCTCTCTGATTCTTGGAATCCAAAAACGTTGTCGAACATCCGAAATGGTGTGGCTGATGCTTTTGTGATAACATCTATGAGATTCAGAGATAATCAGACGGCTGAGTTCCGTTTTTGGAGCGATCATGATCGGGTTTTTCGACATGTCCTCCATATCTGATTTATTCATTCTTCCGTAAGCTCTCCATACACGATGCTCGTCCGTTTTGAGGTTCAGGTTCGACGTGAGCTCTTTCCGGTATTGTCCTCTGAGATGGATTTGTTGGTGATTCCGTATCAGGACTGTTTCCGCTTCTGCAATCTCCTGTGCAGTGAGGTACTGTGTACTACTTGCACTCTCAATCCATGGCAAACTGCTTTTGAGCCTTTCCTTCAGATTTCCATGTAAACGGTAGTGAATGCACTTCAAAAATCTCATAGCGTAAGCCATCACTCTTCGAACCTTAGCGTAGCTGTTGTATTTAGATGTTTCCATTATTTCGCTGACTTGCAGCTCCTGAGATGCTGAACTTTCAACGAGCATTGCATCGCCATCAGTGGGTTCGTCTTCTCCATCTTCGTTCGGGATCGTGAACAGAGTGGAAACAAAATTTCCATCCCGAATTTCTCGAAGTGAGTAGCCTTTCCACCAGATGTGGTTGATGAATTCCGAGGATGTAACTCCTCTGGTGGCGCAGTCTACAGGATTGTGTTTGGTATCGACATAACCCAGCTGAACCCTTACTTGCTGAGTTTCCATCTCGTGAGCAATCCTGTGTACTTCTTTAACGCGATTGGAAACGTACGGTCCAGTGTTGAGGCGGTTCGGTGGAGTGTTGAGCCACTTCAAGGAGATCTCAGAGTCGGAAAACAAGATGATCTTGTCGATTCGTACAGAGGTTTTAAGGCAACGGAGGACATCCAACGTCAAACGTGCTCCCATGGTTATGGCGTGTATTTCTAGCTTAGGAATCGTTGCTGATCCTTTGTTGTCCACTACTTTTGATTTTGCCATAAGAAGGTGGGAGTCGTTTTCGCTCACGAGATAAGTCGAAGCTGCCATTGCCGCCGTGCTAGCGTCGGAGTATGTTACCAAATAAAAGGTTGTTTGCTGCTCGACTATCTGCCTTGGTATGGAACGCGCAAATCCATCCAGCATATCAACAATTCTCTTCCATTCCGTCGCATGTGTTATATTCAAAGGCTCGTCCCAATCGTATTTTGTCCTTCCAAAGGCTCTGTTGGAAGGATTTTGCTTTGACCAACAACGGAGCAAACCATCCTAGCGGGTCGAAGATTGAGGCGATCTGTTGTGCCACGCTTCTCTTGCAGACGGAATCCGTTTTCTTCAATCTGACCGTGGGCTCGAAGGTGTCTTTGATGGAGTCCCAGGGTATGCCTAGAACCTTGGTTACCAAGTTCGACGAACGGTCCACGTCGTCTATCGCTTCCATGACTTCGGCATCGTTACATAGGAAAGCTCGCAAGTTCATATTGATGTCCTTGAATACTGATTTCAAAGCCTTGTATTTGGAGATGGCTTCCTTCTTCGAACACGCTGGGATAAATAAATTGTCCACATACAGGTTGGTTGCAATTTCATCAGCAAGAGCGCGGTCAGTCACATGGTTGTTAAGGTGGAAGAGTATTGTACCGCTCAGGAGAAAAGGAGAAGCGTTGATCCCGAATGTTACTCTCGTGAAGCGGTAGACGGTGAGATTGTCATCCGACAATGGTTTGGTCACATCTTTGACCCACAAGCAGCGGGTCATATCGCGATCCTTTTCATGGAGATACACTTGAAGAAATGCCTTCTCTACATCGGAGAGTAAGACATACTTTGCAGTCCGGAATCGCAGTAGTATTCCGTATAGTTTGGGAGCATTGTAGGTCCTTGATGCACAATGTCATTGAGTGAAGGGACAATTTTGTAATGCGCAGATGCATCAAAGACTACTCTGAATTTGGTGTGTCCTTTTCCGGAGTAATAACTGGCTGATGAGGAAGGTAGTGCTTCCTTCTCACGAATGAGTCGTTTGATTCGTCGACCTCTTCTATAATGTCCTTCCGTAATTGGTCTTGGAAAACTTCATGGTATTGCTGAAGTATATCTGGCTGATTCTTGTATATGTTGAGGATACTCTGTAAGCGACGAAGAGCAAGAACTCTGTTGTCAGGGAGAACTTCGTGGTCGCTTTTGAAAGGAAGACGTACGAAGTATCCTTGATGGCGTTTCTCTATTGATTTATTGAATTCCTCAAGTACTTTCGCATTGATCTTCTCTTTCTCTATCCTCTCAGGACCGGTGAATTCTTCTTCGACTACTTCGTTCTTCTGTAGCCAATCAGATTCGGAGGGATCCATGACGTCGTGTGTGTGTGCCATGCACACGGACAACGATTCTGTTGAAAGAAGCTTCTCTCTCGTGAGACGCTTTCCCGAAACTATGTATCCTACACGGGTAGGGATCAGGAGTAATCCGGAAGGCAAAGTGAACTGTGGCGCTTCAAAATCAATGAAGCTCCAGAGTTGATCGCAGCCAAGTACTACCTGAGCAGGACCCGATATCGAATTTGAGCTGTTACATAAGTTGATGCGCCTTTTCTTTATGAACTTAAGGTCTTCTTCTTCCAAAATTCGTTGTCTTTGGCACACAGTGAGGATATCGTGGGTGTAGAGCTGCAAGTTGTGTTGTTTCCCTTTAGCGTCCCAGACCTTTAGCTCAGTTTTAGTGCACTCAATTTCCTTCGGTTGCTTAGCTCCGAAAGTTGTCAGCTTCATGGAAGTGGAGTCTCCTTTAGGAAGGTCTAATTCTTCTGCTAAGGCAGTGGCTATGAAGGAACGATCCGCTCCAGTATCGAAAAGCACGTTTATGTAGGCAGGCTTCCTTGTTCGTGGGTGCTCAACACGGAAAACTCCTGAGAGAAGAAACACATCGTTGGCAGTATTCGCGCAATTTTTGGTCTGCTTGGCCGTTAACGCGGTGTTGCTTTCAGCTTCTTCCTCTTCGAACGAGTTGCGAATATTCTCCTCAGGCGTTCCATTTTCCTCACAAAGAGCAATATTCTGTCGCGTTGGGATTTTCATTTTTGCGACTCCTTTTGTTTTCTGTGGCTCCGTTCTGCTTCCACTGGTTCTGAAGCACACAGAGGTGTGATGCTTCTTTCCACATGTCCAACATCCCTGAGACTTACACTCTGCATACGAGTGACGCAGTGAACCGCAACTAATGCATCTTTTTGCGTATCTCAGGTACTCCAAATGTTGTTTCGGATCGGTGATTTTTGTGCATTCCGCGGGCCAGTGGGACTTACCATCGCAATAAAAGCAGTTCGGAGAATTCTTGATCTTTCTCAGTTCCGGTGCTTTCCCAAGTTTACTTTGTTTATCGGTAAAGTCCAGCCTTTTCGGCAATTGTTGTTCGATTTATTCCTCTTGCTTGATGATGACATCGAGGCACTCCATCTGCCTTTGAAGAGTCCAAATGTCTTGTCCTACCGAAACCTTTTCTTTCAGTAAGCTCCTCTGGATGTTCTCGGAGAATTTCGATAGAGTTTTGTTCATAAGCCACGGATTGTTCAGATCCTGGCCTTTGAATTGCAACTGCTCGATTATGGTTGAAATTTGGTCAAATAGTCGACGCTGATCCTTTAGGCTATTGCTTCTGGCGGTCCATTTCTCGAGCCTGCGATGAAGTTCAGTGACGATTTCATTCGTACCTCCGTATTTCTCCTTCAAATGGTTCACAGTCAAGGCGTAGTTTGTCGATGTCACTTGGTATCGTGAAATCGACTCACGTGCCTCCCCTTTTAAAGACCTTAACAAGTAGTTGAACTTGTGAAGATCAGGGAGTGGAAGAGAATGGACGGTTGCGTTGAATAACTCCCAAAAATTATCCCATTGCCAACTCTTTCCGCTGAATTCTGGAATGGGTATCTTTGGGAGCTCGAATCTCGCAACCGCTGAATTATGAAGTCCTTGTTGGCAAGGAGAAAGCTCTTGTTTCCTAATTTGAAGCTCTGTTAGGAATGCTTCTGCCCGCGACATAAGCTCTTCCGCTTTGTCAATGTGTTCTGAGACTTTATTTTGCTCTTCCTCGTTAAGAGGCGTCCCCAGATTATCTACTGCCTCGGCAAAAGCATAAAAGGCTTTCGCCGTAGGGGTGAACTCATTTCGGATCTTCACCTCTGCGCTGCTAACATGAGCAAGAAGTTCGGTGCTGTCCCCTGATCCTCTTTGCCCTATCAGATTTGCAAAGAGATCCAACTGTTGGGTTAGCGTGTTTATATGACGCGTTAGGACACCTTTTTTGGCTCTCAAAGAAGTTGTTATCCTATTACAGTCGGAAATGTATTATATCCTTAACTGAGTACCTATGAAGGAAAATCCTCAAGTAGAACTCAAGAGGTAAAGTGTGCGCGAATCCCAATAGCCCTACTGGAAGGTAGTCCTGTTTGCTCCTACAGTCCAGTGTACCAAGGTTAGAAGTCCAGAATTGTTAGAAAGGAACTCTGGCACACGAGTAGTAAGCGTAAGCGTTAGTAAGTAGGCAAGGAAAATTTCCCACCCTTTCGGTATCCTTTCCTTTTCTGTTCTGCGATGCTATGGTACTCGTCACTTGGTCGGCTCGGATCGTCAATGCCGATGCACCATAAAAATGAGTGTCGACAGCCAATCGTACCGTTTATTGATACCTCAAACTTGGGTAATTAAACGAGTAGAACATTCTTTAAAAGGTAAAATATGCAAAAATACGAAAGAAATAATCCTAAGGTTAAAATTTGAGAATTTCGGATAAAAGAGATTAGAGTGACAGGAATAATATGATAAATAAGAGTCTAACTGAATACAAAATAGTGAGAGAAAAAAGATTGCCCATAAAAATGCACCTCGATCCTTGAAATCCTTCGATGTCGTCTACTGACCACCCTGCCAGCTTTTATGCTATCTTTTTGTGTTGCTTTTAGCCCGAACATCAACATTTTAAGAGATAATGGATGCGAAAATCAACATTATGCTGCTGACTAGAGCGGATGTTTATATGAAAGAAAACATGTTTCTGAGAAAAACAACATGGGTGGTGTTATCAGATTAAAAGGAATTTGAGCTATGAGAACAACAAAGAAATGAGCTGAGCTATTAATATCTACAGTACATAGAAAGTGAAGCTACTCAATCTTTTCCCCTTCTAATCACATTTGTGATACTGCCGTGTGTTGGCTGGCTTTGCCGGTCTATTCGGCGTTGACCGTGGAGCAGCTTATTTACTATTGAAATTTGAACAAATATTCAAATGATTATAACTTTCTTCAAATATGACGAATTTTCAATCTGAAAGCAGATTTGGAAGTTTTGTGAAGAGCTTTTTCTAATCAGTATTGAAATTACAAAAAGTTATAAGAAATAACAAATTTAGGTCAATTAACGAGGAAAATTCGAGATGAGCACGAGTTTTTACACTTTCCGAAGCAACAACTTGCTTCATTTTCGTCAAATTCGAAAAGTTAATATGGCAGACAAAACTAGAAGATTTTCTCTACCAAACCATTGCTAAAGCAGCTCTATACGTCCAGTATTCGAAAAATGCCCACGTTGAGGATTTTCGCAAAATTAACGAGGAAAATTTGTGATGAGTGCGAGTTTTTTACTTCCTAAAGCCATAACTCCGTTCAAACTCATCCAATCCGAAAAGTAAATACGCCATCATAAACTAGAAGATTTGCTCTATCAAATGCTTACTAGAACTGCTCCAAACGTCCAGTATTAAAAAAACGGCTACGTTGAGGATTTTTGCACGAGTACCGCCGAAAGGTACTTTTTCGCTACATTGGCACTATTTCAACGGCTGTATATCCTTTTAAGGGCGATTATGTACTAAAGTAAGAGCAGATTTGGAATCACTGCTTTTCTCTCTAAGAAAAGTGATTGATTAGCGTTTCTCAACTTTAAAAGGTTACATGTTTATAAATTTACCCCGAAGAGTCCGTTAACGCAATGTTGAATGGGGTAAACCTCCCTGTAAATGCGCACGGACACTTTCAGAATTCTCTCGATTGTTCCTGAATTGAGGTTGTTTGTCCAAGGAGCCGTAGTTGGAGCGCGCGCAACAACTAGACCCTTTCTCGGATGCGCCGTGTACCTCACATCCCTTCAGATTCGGGGTCTTACTTGAAAGATGAAATATCTCTTGGAAAGCGTGCGAAATTCAGATTCTTTAACTTGTGTGGTGATAAAACACTGAAGTAACTAAGAATTACCGGACGCCTCAGAATCACGAAAATTTTGTGTGGGTGAAATATCATTTTCATTGGAAATCCTCTGGCCTGGCATCGACTCATCCTTGATATTTGTCTTCCGACGGTGATGATCCCACTGCATCAAAATGGCTCGATCTCTTCCACCCAGCGGGCCAATACGACCCCCCCCCCCTGCGACGTGTCGAGGATTCCTCAACGCACGCTTGACCCTGGTCCAGAGGAGTGCTTCAGGCCCTGTTACGCACTCAAAGCCGAAAGAATTGGATAGCGGCACTTACCAGGAAGGTCTTTCAGGGCGTGACGAGCTTTTTGAAAACGGTCTTTTGCATGATATAGGGGCAGATGCGGGGACCACAGAACCATGTTTAATTTTTCCTGAACGGCCCTCTGAATACCAGAAAAGGGGGTCCCTAGTTCGATTCCTCGTGGTGACAAATTTTTGCATTTCGAGTTGACGTTCCAAAATTCGCGCAAAATGGAGTTAGCATGAATAATTAGTACCATATTCATGATTAGGACCGTCAGTAACCTTACAAAAGACTTTGACTTAAAAATTGGTGTGAGAGGCGTGACATCAAAGCAGCCCCACTGTGGTGTCGAGCTGAGACTTATTCAGCTCAGTGTGTGTCATTCACAATCGTATAATGTAAGATGCGAACTTAGTTAGTACTGACGGTCCTAATCATGAATATGGTACTAATTATTCATGCTAACTCCATTTTGCGCGAATTTTGAAACGTCAACTCGAAATGCAAAAATTTGTCACCACGAGGAATCGAACTAGGGACCCCTTTTCTGGTATTCAGAGGGCCGTTCAGGAAAAATTGAACATGGTTCTGTGGTTCCCGCATCTGCCCCTATATCATGCAAAAGACCGTTTTCAAAAAGCTTGTCACGCCCTGAAAGACCTTGGAAGCTCTGCTCTGTACACAGGAGGGACCCACCTGAACCCATCGTGGGGTACTTCTAAGGCCAATATGCATCAGGTAACATTGAAGACACATTAGGGGCTCACTGATGCGTCTGCAATAAAAAAAATTGATGCCGAAGTTTTCCTCTTTCCCCCATTTCCTCTTGGCGGCAGACAACTCTGCGACAATTTCCAAGTCAGGTCGTAGTTAAAAGGAGCTGAGGCGAGAAAAAGAGCCCAGTGAAGAGACCATGGTGGACTAGGGAGACGCAGATATTACATACATAACGCATCCCCAAACGCTGGAAGTGCTTGATGCGACGTAATTACTTATCACCTTCAAGCGATTTGAGTCTCGAATGTGGCACTACGCTGGGTTGCAGACCCAACCACCTCTTTAAGGGTAGGAAATCATTCAGCGCGCTAATCGCGGAATAGGCTCTTAATGATACTTCCTTCAGTGTTGCTTCTTAGTTTCCAATTTATGCGCACTTTTTTCTATTTCCATTTTGCAGGAGTGTCAAGCCTACTTAATCTCTGCTTGATTAGGGCGAAATAGGCGGTGATGTGTTGTGGATTTGTAGGTTCTTGGAAGCGTTGCCGTTGAAATATTTTCCGATTGGGGACGTGCGCGTTCGATTTCCATTCAGAATCGCAGAGGGATTTGAATGCGCATTTGTCCTGACATACCCTGCGGGCTCGCCAGGCGCACAGTATAAGCCAACGCTTTCTGGCCCGGGATAATCTGGATGTTAAGGAAGTGGGACCGGATGGGTGCAAAGCTCCTGCTCACCTGTGCGGAGTTCGGGATTTGATTTCTGCACCGTGTGTGCCATGAAAGCGCAACAGGCCCATTCTCAGCTTTGCCGTATCGAAGAAATTTCCTATCTTTCAGGTCTCCTACGTTACTACATTACGAGGTTCAACTCGTTACATGCTCTCTGCCAAATAAGTTACTAGTTGTGCAAACGAAGAAACAAGTAAACATGTAAACAGAGAGCTGTAGAGATTATATCCTAGCACATCTATACCGTTTCGAGTACCCTAGAATAGGTCCGTCGCGCGGCGGTAGGGCAGAGACGAAAACTGGTCAACGGACTACATAGTCACAATGCGTACTGTAGGAATTCGCCGTCCAGTTAAGTAGAGGACAATAGTTGACTACATCACGCAGCCCGAGCAGCAACTGTCGTTCCGCCTGACCCTCTTGCGATCTCTGCCTTTTTCGCCGCGCGAATGGGGGGGGGTGCGGCCTCCTGTCATGACCCGTAGTAATTTCGAATGCGGTGATAACGTTGAAGTTGTCACGATCGAATGAGTCTAGTGTATCACTAACTTTCATTTTAAATCTACAAAAAATAAATTTTCATCACGGGAAATTGACTGGCTGCTCATTTTTAGCCTTTTGTGTACTCAGAAAGGTTTATTCATTCGTTTGATTCTTTTCTATTTGATCTTTTAGCATCAGGTAATTTTGGGCTAGAGGTAGCACAAAATACAAGCAAAGCATTAATATGACTAGATTTCGCACTTGGCTTATATCCCCTTTTAGAGAACATCTTATGCGACGGCAACGTATCCCAGGGCTTCCTAATATCCATAAATGAAGGATGACAGATATCATGGCAAGCCGGAAAACTGATTCACATGTAATAAAGCAGTAAAAGAACCCTGAGAGAAGTAATTGTGAAAGCAATTATGGCTCACAGAGCTTCTATGATATGCCCTGTTCTGAGATACGGTAATGCCTCATGCCAGCACTCCTTGAAGCAACACCTGCCAAGGGCTGATCGTAGAAAAGCTGGCATTCATATTCTGTTTGTCTACAACTGGCTTCAATGACATCAGTGGAACACATTACATGGGGGGAACTATCTATAGTTCTCATCATAAGTACTGGCACAGTTCTGGGACGGATGTGGTGTAGTAGCAAATGGGGCCATTTCCCAAACGCGAGCTCCAAGCCAATCAAGCCTTCCATCCCTCTTCCATTCCTCATTCCCTCGGGGTTGGTTAATTGATACCAAACTTGGGTTGGAGGACTGACCTGTGCAGCGGCTGGCCCCACGCAATTCATTGTGTAGGCCACATCTGCATTCAAGGTGCCACTGAATGTACCAATGGAAGAAGAATGCGTGGCGCATCGCAAAAGAACTGATCGACGTCAAAGGCTTTATTCTTCATTTTTCCGTATATAGTTCTACTCTGAAAAGCCCAAATTCACAGTAACTGCCCAGAAAAAAATAGTGTCGTTCAGAGAGGTGTGCTGCTGGGTGGGCTGAGCAAATATTAAGAATTTAAATGCATACTGCGCAAATCCTGTCTATAGTTGGATCAGCTGGCATCTGTTGTCCAAAAAAAAACAATAACATATGAAATAGCACGCAAAAGTTCTCCGTTAACACATCACAGCGTCTCCAAACACATGCCATCCTTCGCAAATTTTGGCCACACCCCTTGACGTCGTCCACGTGCACTCGTGTAAGCATCATATTTCCATTAGAGTAAGTTTATGATGCTGTTACTAAATTGGATGTTTTTCTATGCCACTTCAACACTGAACGAGATAAGCGATGTGAGAAATAAGCGATAGAGGAATACCCGAGCCTGGGGATAAAGCTTCGGAGTTATCATTTTGACTTGTTTTTATTGGATAACTGCTGTTTTACGCCGCAGTTCGGCGTTGCACGAAAGTGTAATCACTATGGAGATTGCTGCAGTTGTGGGCAAAATTCGCCCAGCCGCGGATGTGCTTCTTCTTCTGCCTCTTTTTGCCCACAACTCAGCATTCTTGTGATAACTTTCGCAACGCGAACTGCGGCGTAAAACAGCAGTTATCCAATAAAAACAAGTCAAAATGGTAACATCTAGTAAAGCTTTCAGCCTTGCGGTTGAATGCCGAAATCGGCCTACCGGTTCATCACGTTATACGTGTGAATGCTGATAAGCTATGGTAACTTCACCATCGAAGCTGAGTTGGGGTGAAATGGTGCCCCGGTGGTGTAACTGGTAGCACAATTGCCCGGAAAGCAAGAGATCCGGGTACGAATCCCGGCTGGGGCGGAATCGTGTTTCTTCTTTACTAGATTTTCCGCGATACGCTTATGCAACAACTCGAAATTCTTAGGATAAAGTTTCGGTGTAGATGTCCACATACTATGCATATGGTTGGATGACTTGCCGCTTCTTCGAATCGTTAGTTGGACAAACGTTTCTCAGCCTCAGCCAGATTCAGATAACCCGGATCTGGCTTGCTTTGCCGGGCAATTGTGCTACCAGTGTACACCGTCGGCACCATGCACCCAATGCTGTGCATTGTGGAAGGCATATGCCCGTTACGAAGGAACGGCAAGAGGCCGTGACAGAACATTTGAATGGGGTTTGACTTTACAATAAGTTCTGAGGACTTGCGACTATAACATGCCTAGGATAAACTCACGAAGAGTCAGGAATGGTTTCTATGAAGAGAATCTCGGACAGATATTGTTGTTCAAGGAGATCAGTCCTATGAATTATGATTAGATGGTTCAGATTTCTGGAGTACGCAGGCATTGATTCTTTCTTTAACCCATTCGCGACCGCGCAGGATTGCGCAATAGCAGCAGCGTCAGGAGATTTTTCTTCAATAAAATTCGAGTGGAGGGAGATTTCCTCTGCCCAGGGCTGGCGTAGATGAGCGAGGGTATGAAGATTCTTTTCATGGAAGAAAACTTTCCAAATTCCATTTCAAGCCCTGCAGCCACAGTAATGCCATTGTCCCGAGGAGAGCTTTCAGACCACCGGTCTGAACTAGTCCACGACTGCGTTACCCAATTGCTGGCTTACCAAAGTGCCGGTTAAGTTCCGGACGAATACACATTTCATTAATAAACCTATGCTCAGTGTACCAGTTTAATGGCAACCCACTTATGGGCTTGGAAGACATGAATCGATTTGGATTTCCAAATATAAAGGATAAAGGATAAAGCATTTGCCGTTGATCAATCCCTTTTTGGGATGCGGCACGCATTCTACTTCCATTTGTACATTCGCAGTGGCATTTGAATGCGATGTGGCCTATACAATGACTTGCGGGGGCCAGCCGATGTTCAAGTCAGTGTTTTTATCCTCCCAGACAAGTCTGGTACCAATTAACCGACCCCGGAGGGATGGAAGGCTTGGTTGGCCCGGGCGACTCACGACCCAGGATTTGATCCCCGGACCGCTCGCGTGGTGAGCGCGCCACTTGTCACTACACCACTTCCGCCCCAGACGCAATATATAGCATCAAAATCCTCACGAAGGACCACAATTTCATTTTTTATTGCAGAAGGGCTGCAGAATTGGTAGAGATGAGTATAGTTCGAAGGGTTTGAGGTATGAGGGGTGGGGGAACATGCACCCGGAGACCAAAATGATAGGTCTTTTAGGTCGTCCCCCTTTTCAAAACCACGAATACGTGGCATTAAGCAGGAACACATGGAGTATGGAAATGTTCTTTGTTTCTCCTGAGCGGCCGGGCTAAAACAGAATGCGTATAAAAGATTGCGTTCATTGGTCGATTCCTCGTATGTGGGAAGTTTTGCCATCGTTCAAAGACACTTCTATGGGTCGCCCAGTATGGTACGGTAACCCGAGACTATATTAGCCATCGAAGGACACCTTAACCTGTATGAGTCGCGTTTTTGCCGAAGAACACTGGTATCGGACATGGGTCCACGTGATCCTTCCAAACCCTTTTTTGGCATTCCAAGAGTCGCTCAGGAAAAATGAAGAACAGTTCCATGTTCCATGCGCATGCCTCTAGAAGACGGGTTTTTTTGAAAAGCTGAAGCTCCTTTTTGGAGAGCTGGGCACGACTGGGTAGTGGTGATCGATCAGCGAAGAAGGTATGTATTTATAGCATTTCGTGGAATAATCAATGTCTAACATTCCAAATTGCATGTCGTTGTTTTGCATGATCGATCAACCTTTTTGCTACTCACACTGCTACCAAAATCCTCGATGAAATCCCTCCCTACGGTTGAAAGCGAAACCTGATTTATAGCTCACGTACTTGAAAATCCTACTTAATATAACTCGTTTTTTTGACTTGTTTGTGTTTGTTTATTCGTTTGTTTGCCTGTTCACAAAT